GGGGGGGGTGGGCTGGGGAGGTGGGTGCCTTGCTCAAGGGTATTGGAAGAGAGCGCTGGTTATTCGCTCCCCCACCTACAATCCCTGCCAGTACCGAGACTCGAATCTCTGATCTTTGGGTTACAAGTCCGACTCTCTAACCATTAGGCCATGAATTTTTTGGCAGTTTAGACTTGTCCTCCTCAATGTCTATGGTGGTTACAGCTCTGACTTTAAAAGAAACTGATTGTAATGATGGGTATACTTGCCTGTTTAATTGCCTTGTCTTAAAAAATTGCTCTTTTGAATAAATGTTTTGTTAATATTGTGTCAAGTGTTTTCAGTTTTTGACTTGGACACTGTTATTGCAGTTTTCAGTTGTAACATATTATTTCTTAGTACCAATTTCCAGTAGCATTTTTTTGTTCAGTCAACTTCAGGTATGTGAGTTCTACAAGACAAAAAATGTTGAGTTGGCACAACTTAAAAAGGTTTGTTATAGAATCGTTGCACATCTAAAAAAAAAACGAACAATCCTGAGTTAACTTAACTAAACATTTTTTGTATGACTGACAACTTTTTTTCAGTCAGTATAACTGCTTTTTTACAAAAGTTGAGTGAACAAGAAAAAGCTAGGGGAAATTAGTACTAAGATTTTTTGTTGTTGTGCTGGCTTAATTATTTTTTACAGTGTATATATACACACATATATGATTATTATTATAAATACTTTTTATTTATTAGTTTTATTAAAAAAGAAATATATTAAGTAAAAAATACATTATCTAAGCAATGTTTTTCTATCAATTATATATATATATATATATATATATATATTAGAGCCCGACTGATATATCGTTTTGCCGATATTATCGGCCGATATGAGCCTGTCGCCGATATATCGGTATCGGCAAATAAAAAACCCATATCAGTCGGGCTCTAATATATATGTATGTATATAAAATACTATATACATTTATTATATATAATTATAAAGGAAATATGATGACATATATTAAGGGAAAGTGTTTTAACTTCCAAAAACAAGACTTAAATTGCAAGTTTTGTGTATATGACAGGCAGAGCCCATTCACTTTACACATAAACAAAAAATAAAAACATTAAAGTGTAAGATTTAGGCATTTTATAATCTTATTTTTGGGTAACTACATCTCTTAATTATTTTCTAATTCTCTACCCCCACATAGTGTGGCACTAGGTCATGTAATTGTATTCGTTGTCAAAGCAGGATAATCCTACTGATTACTGAATGAAGCTTGCTCACAGCTGATGAATCTGGCTTGTATGAAACATTAAGAGATGATATCATTTCAAGATCCAACTAGAAGTAATACTGTGATATCCAGCATATAAGTAAATGCACATGACAGTTTAGAGTCCCTCGCTGATCAACACTGTTAGGTTTGTGCTGAGTCTTTATGACAAGACCAACACAAACTCCCACGCAAGATACAGACGAGGAACGCTGTTTCCAACGATGCCCTGGGTCAGCTGCCACAGAAATGTTCATTCACCTTTGAAATGACCCCTAGTTTTAAAGAACACTTGAGGAAAGTTCATCCTAAAAAAAAAAGAGAACTAGATCTGAAATTTTCTGAAATGTTTGTTCAAATCACTAACCCTAAATATAAGCAAACACCACTTATATTTGAAATAAAACCATACAAAAGTGGCTGCAAATGTTATGTAAACTTCTTTAAATATTCCATTACTTAACTAATTCTCCAGATAAACAGAAATAACATATTTCAGCACATGGTAATTGGACGGGGTGGGCTGTGTGTTCATTTTGGTGCACTCACTTTCCTGCAGCGTAGACCTCTGCCGTGTCGAACAGATTGATCCCGTTCTCGTACGCCAGAGTCATCAGCTGCTCTGCAATCTGTCAGAGGGATGGAAGGGAGAGCAGGGGATCCAGCATTCAAGGTGCGGCAGTCTATTCAATTATTAAAAGCTGTATTCTGCACAGTGCTACTCAATAAGTCATCTTTAATGCGTTTAGGCACATTTACAGTGTACGCTGGCAATGAAAAACTACTGTTCTAGCAGACAAGAACTGTTTATGAATGCAGTTTAATTTCAGAGAAAAAATAAAGCATTTTGCAAAGCACAGTTGTTTAAAATTCTGTGCATTAAAGTGGATGGAATTTTAAAAATGAAAGAACTGTGTGAATGGTGATTCATGGAAGAATGCTATGTAATCATATTTATTTTTCTGTGAAGAGTTTATTTTTCACTTGGAAAAAATTATTGTGTTATATATAGATATTTATTTATTTAGGGGTATACGGGTAGATTAAAGCAAAGTTGATAAGTTGATAGATTAAAAAAATATTGATAAGTAAATTTAAGACAAAAATGTGTTATATTTAGATATGTATTAAGGGCAATTTAAGATATGTAAAGGTTTTATCAGTCTTACATATAAATAAATAAATAAATAATTGAAATGTAAACTTAAGACAAAAAAGTGTTGTATTTAGATATTTTTTAAGGTTATAAGGGTAATTTAAGATTTGTAAGGATTTTATTAGTCTTAAAAAAATAAACAATTGAGAAAAAAAAACATAAATTTTAAGGATCTGCAGACACTCTGTTTAAGGGTTAATTCACAGAAAAAAAGAAAATGTTTTCATTATTTACCAACCATCATTATGTTCTAAACCAGTATTATGTTCTTCCTTCTTCTATGATGATACATTTAAAAACATTCAAAAGTGTTGCACTGCAGTCGTGAGATCAATTACGTTCAAACTTTCTTCTTTCTCCAAGCATAAATGAGATCTGATTTTCACTGAAAGATATATGTCAATCTGACTTCAGAAGATTTGGAATATAGTGCTTATAGACTACTTTGATGATACTTATGGAAAATATAAATACCATTGTGTTCCATGAAAGAAATAAAACTAATATTGTTTACAGTTTGGAAAGACATGTGGGTGAGTACAAGATGACAGGACAATCATTTTTGGGTGAACTGTTTCTGTAAGTACTGTATATGCATGAGAATATAAAAGCTGACATCAGGGTCGGTCATACCTCATCTGTGATCTGTCCTCCAAACGTCACCCATGTTCCTGTAAAGAGATCTAGAATCAGTCACTGCTTTACACAAGATAAACCAGCTTTAAATGATTATCAGTGATCCACCAATGACACTAAAGAGTAAAGCTTTAAGATGAACCTACAGATAACATGGATAATCTTTAATGCCCAGCTCGAGAGAACAGAACAACACTGGCTGGACGGTGCAGATTTCTGCTGTCTGCCACTACTGTTTGAAGAAATATCGTCTTGTGACAAAAAAAAGTATACAAAAGCTTGTGTTGTTGGTTGCAGGTTTCCTTATCTACTTCACAAAAGGCCTTGATGAGGAGGCCGTAAACGTACCTAATCCAAGACATGAGACTCTCAGGCCCGACTTCCCCAAGTTTCTGGAAAAAAGGAAATAAAGACAATGATTAATAGGTTTTACTCTGCTTTCTTTATCACTTTGTTCTCTCTAGAACTCAGCTTAAGGCCATTGCAGTACTAAATCAGATTGGCAGCTTTGAAAGCACCAACCTAATTTTCTGAACAAAAAAGCTCTGTTCCAAAAACTAGTGAGCTGCCTGTAAGACAGCATTTTAAGGGAAAAAGGTTCGTTCCCAAGGCATCTTATAAGATATCTTCCTTTGGACCAAATCTAAGCGAGCACTGCATGTATGTTTCACTGAGAAGGCAATATCAGAATGTACTGCGATGAGCATAGTGGCCATATATAAATATAATTAGATAATTGAATATTAATAAAAAAAACTATTTAAATGTTTATATTCAATTATTCAAATCAATTATTTACAAAATATTATATTGAAATAAATTTATGAAATGTAAATATGAAAAAAAAAATATATATATTTAAATACATTTATATTTAATTATATTAACAAAAATAGTTGCTATAAAATCATTCTAATCTAATGCTATATTTTATTTATTAGTACTTGTGTGTATCACACCATTACCTTAACAACATGCTAACCTCAAACTCTATTGTAACTGTTGTTTGAGAGTGAGATGCTGCCCATGTAGGCTGTAGACAGCAAGGCAGCTCACTAGGTTTTGGAACAGATCTACTGTCTTCAAAGCTTTTTCAATGACCTCAGCCCGAGTCCTGTAGATGCCACTGGGGCCACTGTTTGCAAGCCATCCTGCTGATTGGTGTATCATGGGAAAAATGAGACTTAGCAGTGCCTGAGGGCAGATTACTGAGCCCAGGGGCTTATGAGAGCGAGGAAGCCTATGGAGCTTATAGAGACAGCAGCTATAATGAAGAGAACTGGCTAAAGGAAGGCTCATAAGTCCAGAGTCACAGAGCCACATGAGAGAGAGAGAGAGAGAGAGGTTTTCAACTTCTGTACCATCTTCAAGTGCTGCAGCTCTCACACCCAGAGCTTTGGACCCGAGAATTTGGTCCCAACTTTGTTTTGTTTACTTTTTATAAGTCCTTGCATTGTTTTAGTTCTACTTCATTTTTTTATTTTCCTGCCACGAAAACTGGTGTGCCAAAAAGAACAGCGTTGCGTACAAAGCCAAAAAGATGGTGAGATGATTATACGATTTGTGAAGGTTCACAGAAGGAAAACGTAACAAGATTAGAACACATACAACAACAGACTTGTGCTACAGACTTCTAAAATGAGCAAAACAGAAGAACAGCATGAACTTTTCTCCGTGTGTGTGTGTGTGTGTATTAAGGCTGGGGGATATATTGAATATTAGAAAACATTCAAAATTCCCTTAATTCCAACAATATTCAATTCCCATTTCAATAATTATTTTCATCACAACAATTCAACAATGTTCATTGAAGTCTCCACATAGCATTTCAAAAGTTTTAAAGTATTTTTGTAAAAATACAAATAAGTAAACATTGCTATTTAGTGCTACTTTTGTGACACTGTCACATAAGAGACATGTTTTACCGCTCTATTTATTGCAATGATTTTATGTATAATAGAGTTTTCTTAAGTCCATTTTATTCCTCATGACATTTTTAGTGTGTATGTGTCTTTAAGAATTGTATGGTTCTTGGACTGTTTTAGGGTATGGCGCAATGAACTATATGCTTTTAACAGACTGAGTTTTCCTGGTTTTATTGTGTTGTTTTAAAGTACCGTGAACTTTGTAAATACACTGTTCTTACTAAACTTATATCTGTTTTATGTCATTCTTTTATCACCTACAAACCTCCCACACAGTAAAATCTGAGCCCATTTTAAACTTTGTAACCCAGCCTGTTAGGCTGATCATTACACTTTGATGCATATAAGTAAAAATTATTTATTCATTAAATCAAAACAATGTGGACTGATTGTTTATACTGAAACATTTGGTTGGCTTTTAATATTTATTGAAAAACCTACTAAAATATTTTGAATCTGCTTGGCATCAAATGGCAAATTGGTCAACATAATGGTGCCACAAAATAATAAAATAAATAAATAAAATAAAATACATTGAATAAAGAATACATATGCTGTCACTCAGTCCTAGTTTGTGGTGTCTGTACACGAGCATGTACATGAATAAAGAAGTGTGTAACTGGGATTAAGGATGATATAACAAGCTGTCTGTGTGTGTAGGCACGTATGTGCGTTTCTAGAAGCATGTGTGGGGTTTTTGTGTGTTTGTGTGGGGGTGTCTATGTTGGATTAGAAATATGTGGGTGTCCGGTGGCAGAATGCAGTGAAAGACAGACCACAGTGGGTCACAGTGAGCCACACGTTGCTTTGGATCCAAAAAGTAACCTGCAGACCGGACAGATCCTATTCATAGCAGCATTTGCTGGGCGATTTAATGTGGCTGGTGATTTCTTCAGGCACCTCAGCACAAAAGTTCAAAAGATTAAATGCAGAAATGTTTGGTAAATAACTCACTGGAGTGCTGCGCTATTTCCTGTAGACACCAGGGAATCTTACAGTTAACAAGCAAATGTCTTTAACTGAAAGGCATAATTCACTAGGGGAAAATGAATAAGTATCTGCTCAAATCTAGTTTTACAATTAACATGGAGCTAAAAAGTAAAGAGCATGTGGTTAATCAACGATGGTCAGGTCAATGTCAAAAAAGTTAGTAACTGTTTTTAATTAGACCTTGCGGTGAGATAAACTGTTCAATGTTGGACAGAAGCATCATGGTTCAGTTGATTCAAAGTAAATTATTTGCAAAGGCAAGCCTGTATAGCGCAAATTATCTCCAACATGAACCGTGTCAGTTCTGAGCAGCTAGTCATCAGACAGAATTGCAAAAACAATCATTCTTATTTCCGATGCTCTGTGGAGTTGAGATGCTCTGATAAACGTCTTTATAGCATCGCAGAACTGCAGTGTTCACACTTTTTAGGGAATTCAGCTGAATAGTTGCATGTTAATCTAGGACACACACACACACACACACACACACACACACACACACAGACAAAATGAAATCATCACTTCTAAAGGGTCATGAAATACTAAAACATTGTTGATGGAAGACTGTTAAATCAGTTTTTTCCAATCTAAAAGAGAAACTGAAATCTTGTCTCAAAAGTTATTAAAAATGCAAAGCAAATGCAAACAGCATTGAATTATAGCTACTAAATGTTGTGTGTGAATTTCACTCTTAAAAATAAAGATTGATAGGCATTGATTGGTTCCATGAAGAATCTTCCCATTCCACAAAATGTTCTTTATAAAGGAAAACGGTTCTTTGGGAAACAAAAAAATGTTTATTTTATGGCATATGCTGTATAAACAACAACAACAAAAACTTTTGGAACCTTTATTTTTAAGAGTGTCATGTAATGTATCGTTAACTTTGTGCATGTTGTTGCGTGCAGTTATAAACTGCAGAGTGCATTTGTTATCCTTTGATATTGTTAACTAATTGTAAAAAATAAATAAAATAAAAATAACATGACTGGATCAGACGCAGTTGTTGTTTTCTCTCCTCACTCCACTCTACCGCTTTCCATGTCTCCTTTTAAAAAAAATATATTTGAGATCTGTCACAATGATTGACCTGTGCTGAAATGGAAGGTTTCATTGCACTTTAAAGACTTAAGTTTTTGAGTGATATACTTGTGTGATATGTAAACATATAACAAAGTGATGCATAATAACAGTATTTATGTACTGCACCATTCAAAACGGATCTTAATGGAAACGGCTCAGCGTATGCTGCTATGGTTACCTCCTCAGGCCAACACGATTTCAGTTTGAGAGCATCTATTTGGTGAAAATATGCATTTGAACTAACTTGTCATCTAACTTTTGTGGTTTAAAAATGCTGTTGAAACATCCCTTATGCAATACACAGAATTAAAACTGACTTGAATATGCAAATATGCACTTTTTAAGATAATTCGCATATGGTGAGAACTTTCGGCCCACACACTCAAAAATCAATGCATTTTTGCATGATAGCCATTCAATAAAGCATTAGACTGGTTGGTGTGATTGAGTTGTGTTAAACGTGAAAACAGGCACGTGCCAAAGACTTCTTATCTCAGCCCTGGCTGCCAAAAATGAGCATTGGTATTCTCATTATACGCAGCAATTACCACCCAGTAGGAAACAAACAATATGCACTGATGAATTCCAAGGCTGTTTATGATTCATTCATTGGTTGCGCCCTTGCTGATAATATGTACAGTGAATAAGATCGGAGATATGTAGATCAAGAGAGGGCTCCTTTCATGGTTTGATGTTTGTGGAGTATCCCTAACATGATTAGTACAGATTCAACTGGAACTCTACTGCTGTCTACACCGATAAATGTATGACTGAAGCTGTGTAACTGTGTCAAGGAAGCTCAAATAATAAGCCGATCCTGTTAAAACCACTGTGTTGGACTGAAGGCACGGGCAAATCGAAAGACAATCTGGTGTTTTCAGGGCCAGTAGACTATTGATTGCGCTACTGTGTTACTGTTTCCTTGTTCTCAGCGTTCTGTTGTGTTGAATATTTCACAGGCTGGAGCTGAATACTGCATGATGGACAGCAGCCCAGTCACAACTGGACCCAGGTGCAGTGCTGGAGATTGGGTTTGCCAGGAGTCACCAGAGATCAAGCCAGAGGTCAATAAATGTCACCCGTGTCTTTTAGCCGGGTTAACGATATACAGAGGAGCACGGGCCGGTCAGGTTTGTTTACGAAGCAGAGGGAGTTCAACTTTTCAGAGTTCAGATGACTTCGGTCTCTGTTGATCTCCACCAGCCTCAGTGAGTTTCTGAACTCAAACGATTAGGACAGCTCGCTTTAAAAAGTAGAACATGATGTGTCAAAACACATTTGTCAGTACAAAAGGAATAGTTCAACCAAAAAAATTTCAGTTCTCACATCATTTACTCACCCTCATGTCTTTCTAAATGGCAGATCCTCTAGAAATGCATGTAAATGATGGCAAA